GGATCCTTAACTTTGCTCTTTTTTAATTTGGTCGTTCTATTTCTACAATGGCTCAAATACATATTGAATGAGACATCTGCGGCCGAAGACAAGCCATTCCACACCAACTCGAAACAACTGCGCTACGCGGGCGTACATCAAATGAACAGACGAAACAATACACCAAGAAACACGAGTGCCGGAACGGCAGAATATTTACACCATCACATGCATACGTCGGCTAGGTGTCCTGACGTTGAGCGGGCGCTAATGGTTTTGAACATCCAAAGTAAACTAAGCTCCACCTCTCTCCCCACATCCTGGCCATGTCATGAGCATTTTCAATCCATTCGTGTTCGATTTGGGTCTGTTGGCGATAAGTTGTAAACTATTGGAATAAACGAATATGTATATATATATATATGTATATATGGATGCATCTGTGTGTCAGCCAGCGTGGCGCCGCATATGTGGCGCAGCACATGTGGTGTAATGTATGTGTTGCAATCTACGCGGTGCCATGTATGATGTGCAATAAGTTTGGTGCAATGTATGGTGTGTGCAATAGTTGGTGCCGTACATTTTATAAACAATGTGCAGCAACTGTGGAGCAATCTACGTGGTCGAGACAATGTGGTATAATCTACGTGGCGCAACTCATTGGTGCATCTCTGCGGCCGCGCTAACCCGCCCATGTTCGCGCGCGCAGAGGCCAAATAGTTTGGCGCGAGCGGCGCGGCCGCGGTGGCGCTGACGTATGGGCACGTCCCAGCGAGTACTTCAATGCGAGTCTGCCACTTGGGCGGTTGCGGTATCACGGCAACGTCGACAACGGTAGACACGACGATGATAGTAGCGACGCTGGCGACGATGACGACAACGGCGACGGCACGGCCAGTGACGGCGCCGATGCTCATCACACCGACGACGATGACGGCGTCCTCGCGTCGGTGATGGAGGTTTTGGAAAAATGCGCGCGCGGCCGACGCCCGAGAGTGGCCCGGATGGTATTATTTGACACGGGTCGTGCCCCCCAGCACGCGCGCAAGGGCGTTCGAATGAAGCCGACATGCGGCGCAACAAAAACCGTTTGGCTGAACAACATACAACCTGTTGTGTTTCTGAAAATTCGCAAGAGCGCGAACGCAATTTTCGTTGTTTCAAAACTGGCATTGCAAAACGATGTGCGTTATGTGTTTCCAGGGCACTCGACTTCGAAATCCTTACGGCACCAAGGGTTTTGAAGGATGTCGGCATACGCGCGCGACGACGCGCGCGCGCGTGTGCACTGCGTCCAGTCTGTTGCATGGGATTCTTGCGACAGCACGCGCGCAAGGGTGTTCGAACGATTTCGACACGCGTGCGCGAGAGGCCGATGTGGTAAAGTTTGATGTGCCTGTTGAACAAAAAACTGATGGTTGCTTGGAGAATGCGCCAGGGCGCAAGCGAACACGTGTTTTGAACAGTCACGTCGCGAAAGCATGTGTGTTTATCTGTGTCGGGACACTCGGTTTTGAAATCCCTACGAAATCTAAGATTTTTGAAAGATTGCGGCGTCCGCGCGCGAGGACGCGCGCGTGTGCACTTTGCCCCGCTTCGTTTGCAAAGGATTCCTGAAAACTGCTGACTTTTGATACGCGAATGTGCGCGCATAGTATTTGCTGCAAGAGGGTAAGGGAAACGGGTACCTGTTTAGTTGGGATGATTTGGCCCAGACGACGGGCGGCGACAGGGCGAGGATGACGGCGACATAGCCACCAGACCGACCCCCTGGCCCAGACGACGGGCGGCGACGAGGCGGCGACAGGGCAGCGACGGTGACAGTACAGCCGCCAGACCGACCCCCTGGCCCAGACGACAGGAGGCGACAGGGCGGCGACGGCGACGACACAGTCACAAGACCGACCTCCAGGCCCAGGCGACGGGTGGCGACGAGGCGGCGATGGGGCGGCGACGGGGAACAGGCCAGTCCCACCAGCCCTCTGGGCGTAGGTGGTCTCGGGAGACTCCTCCTCCAACCCCCTTCTTCCCCTTCGGGAAGGGGTTTATCACTGTTCCTTACTAAATAGACACCCCCTCTTCCAGGCGACCGGCGTCCAACCAGGAACCATGCCGACACCATGCCGACCCGCCCCCCACCATCCCTGTCAAAAACCAATACGAATCGCATTCCGCCTCCACATTTGGAGCATGCGCGGCCAACCCGATGCGGCCCCCCCACCATTCCTGCCAACAAAACAATGCAAAGTACACTTTGGGGCAAAGTCTTGAGTCATGTTCGTGAGGCCCGCGAACACGTTGTATTGTTTCTAACAGACGGAGGGGGTTCCAGCATATTCCCTGCCGTGCGCAGGGCTACCATCCCTGACAAAAAACAATACAACATGCACCTCGCGGCTACGTCTGGATCATGCGCGGCCATCCCGCGATCACTGTCAAATTGTTTTTGACAGGGACCGCGGGGATGGTGGCGCGTGGCCTGCTGTGCGCAGGCCCACCAGACACAACGATGGACATTGGTCTTCGACAAGAATGGCAGGGGCCAACATGTTTCCCGATGTGTGCTGTTACGTGCGCAGGCGCACCTGACGCATTCTGCACGTGCCCCGAAAATGGCGCACCTGGCGCGGCTGGAGTGTGTGGCACACCTGGCGCACCAGGAGCACGTGGCGCATATGGCGCACCCTGCGTGCCAGGCACGCTCGGGCCCCAGGGGTGCCTAGCGCGCGTGGCGCCCCTGGCATGCGTGGCGCACCTCGCTCAAGCGTCGCGCAGCTGGGGTCGGCGTTGGTTCCCAGTAGCTGTCCATCCAAAGACGACCGCTGAACATGCTCAGGCTCGGGTTTTACTTATGTGTTGGGAGGGCGGGTGGGAGTGAGCTAAACGGCTTGCGGGCGGGTGGGTAGCTTGACCTCTCCCCCCTACCCTCCTCCCCTGGACCTGGACGAGGGTGGTCGCGGGTAGTTGAAGCGTCCAACATGGCCCAAGACGGCTCCACGAGCGCCTCGGGAAGCCAAAGATGACCTCCAAGATGGCTCAAGATAACGCAGGATGCCTCAAGATGGATTTCAAGATGCTCCAATAAGCCCCAATAACGCTCCAAGACGGCTCCCAGAGGCATCCGAGACCTCCAAGGAGTTCCCCAAGAGGCCAACATCCTTCAAACACCAACGGGTCATCAATGATGTGTGCTTTCTCGCCGTTTCGCTTCCGATGGCCATCCGAGGCCTCAAGATGGCTTCACGATGGCCCAAGAGGGCTCCAGGAGATGCCCGAGAGAGCTCCAAGTTGGCCCCAAGAGGCTTGCTCGCTGCTGCCTCTGCCGCCCTCCCTCTCCTCCTGCATGTTGGCGTCTGCTCGCCGCATTGTTTTTACTCCCCCTCGTTCCTCTTCCTCCTCCTCCTCGTCCTCAGCCTCCGCCTCCTTGTCCGAATCGTGTCTCGGCCAGTCGCCGGACAGCTCTGACCGCGAATTCCGGATTTGTTGCTTCCGCCCGGACAGCAGCCGCGCCGCTGGAGCGGCCTGGCGATTCGGCGCACGAGGCACGGCTCGACTTCGAGCGAGGACGCCCAGCGGACAGCTTCGGACAGGTCCAGCTTTCGCACAGTTACCGCCGCGGCGCGCTTTGGGCGTGTCGGGTTGACACGTTTGGGGGCTCACCGAAGGCTCCAATGGCGACGTTTGAATGCGGTTCCCCTTTCTGGCACACCGCTGGCACGTGTCCTGGCCCCAAGGTTGGAGTGCCCGCAGTTGCTCCACGAGCGTGCGGGGCGGTTTGGGGGAGGACTCCGGCCGTACTGCGCGGTGCGCCGGGAGGAGGTCCTGGCCGCATGAGGGGCGCTGTCGGTGCGCTCCGCCAGGGGGGAGGGGGGTGCTGGAGCTGCGCCCTGTGGTCGTCGCCGGCTCCCCGTGGCCAGGTCCCACGGACAGGCATCGAGCTTGCAGAGCGCCCAACAGCGCCCGAGGAGCATTCCAAGAGGGGTCCAGGAGGCGATGTTCGGTGCTCACGAGGAGGGGAGGCTAATTGGAGCTCCCCTCTTCTGTCATCGGTGTCCTCCCAGATGGCCCCAAGAGCGCCCCTGAAGCTCGCAAGAGCGGCCCAAAAGGGCCCCACGAGGCGCCCAGACAGCCCCAAGAGGCGCCCCAAATGCCTTCAAGAGGCTCGCAAGAGGCCGCAAGAGGTTCCCCGAGGTACCCAACTCTCCCTCCTTCTCCTCCTTCTCCTCCTTCTGGTCCTCCTCCTCCTCCTCCTCCTCCTCCTCCTCCTCCTCCTCTTCTCCTTCCTCCTCCTCCTCCTCCTCCTCCTCCTCCTCCTCCCTCCTCCTCTTCCTCCTCCTCCTCCTCCTCCTCCCCCTCTTGAGGTATATGACGGCTTCCCCCGCCCTTTGTTCTTCTGCATGCTCCCACACTCCGCTGATCACTTCAACTTCCCTGGGCGTCGTTTCTAGATGGGCTGGTTGGGATATGCGAAGCGTCACACAATCTACTTCCTGTACCTGGACGACTTGAGTCCAGAACCTGGTTCACCCTTCGGGCTGTTCGACGAAATCCGTTTGAGCATTGCTGTAATTATACTTGTCAGTCGCCTAGATACCAAAAAACTAAACATGTCTCACTTCCGTCTCTCTTTGGACGACCCGTGAGCCCTTGGAGCTCGAAAGCGTCTGGTGGTGTCTTTCATGTGGTGATGCTGCGGCTGGAGTAGCTGCTTAGGACAAGAAAGCACCTGCGGCTGAGATGCTGATTGCACACTGTGGGGAATTGGTCCCGTCGTGTCGATTTCGTTGGTCTGACAGGTCCCCAGTCTGATCACAACTCGTGCGGCACGAACGACGCTTCCCATCAATGGGCGAGACATGTGAGGCTGTCGACTGTCCAACCCCGGTCTGCTTGATGTCGTCTAACAATGACGCTGCGGGGACAGACGTGGGCAAGTGAAATTCCACTGCCACCTCATCAACTTGCGAAAACATACGGTTACTGCTGTGCTCCATAACGACCAAATCAATTATTGATAACGTCCGGGCGACCGTTTGTGACAACGACCCGGGAGAACTGATTCTCTGGCCCGGGCACTGGTGATCCCTTACTGGCGTGACGCCCGCGCGTTGGAAAAACGAACGCGCTGAATTTGATGACCATTGACCAGCGATGGAGCCTGGAAGTGGTAGGACAAAAACAGCACGAGAGGAAATCACGCTGCACGGCACCGAATGCCATGAAGATGCGTCCCTTCCCTCGCCGTCCTTGACATCCTCCATCTATCCTGACGCAACGATGCCGTGGAACAAACGCGGCACCTAACACGCCCTGAGGCCCTAATCTGACAGTGCGCGCGTGATCCGCGCAAAAGCGGCCGCTCACCTACTCCGCGCGTCAGGTCCCGTTGGCGAGGCTCCTCGGACTGTCCCTTCGGCAGGCCTCGGGAGAGAGAGATGGCGAAGCACGTGCGGGCAGAGGAGGAGGAAGAGGAGGCGTAGGAACGAACGAAATGGGGAGAATACGTGGTATCACCGTGGACCGCAGCAGCGCTCATCCGCTCGCCAGACCTCGTCTCGCAAAAAGCTGTCGCGGGGCGTGGAAGCAGGGGTTCCAGATGAGAGGACGGCAGCGCCGGCCTCCTGCGGTGGAGCTCCTCGAGGACCCCCGCCCCCGATGGAGCTCCTCGAGGACCCCCGCCCCCGATGCTCTGAACGATGCTCTCCCCCCCACGGCTCCTCGGACACCTTGTCCCCACCCCATCCCCCCGTGCCTTCTGGAAGGCACGCGCAACGCAGAGCGGATGCAGCATACAGTCAACCATGATAGTAAGGATGGGGCAACGTTCCAAGGCTGCCCTTGCATCCTTGTCTCCTCGGTATTCGGCATCCTTCGGCAGTCTGCTGCGCTCCGCACGAAACATGTCAACATGGCGCTCCAAGGCCCTTGCATCCTTACCGCGCATCCTTACTATCCTGGTCGAGTGTACATTGCGGGCGCGGCCGCAAGAGACCCACGGAAGAAACCCCACTCTGAAAACCCGCGCGCGAGATGCACATGGGGGTGGGGAACCCACAGCACCCCAGCCTAGACGCAGCAGCTTCTTCAACGGCCGCGAAAGGTCGCCGCGCCTCGCGCGGAGCGAGAACGCCCAGGGAACCATGTCAAAAAGGATGCGGTTTCTTGACGCGCGTCCCCACTGCAGACCGTAGCAGCGCACTTAGACTAGCGCGCTCCACTACCCGCAAAATAACCACTTGCAAAAATGGTTACGATCCATTACATCGAAGCCAGCAGATGTGTTACGGACGTTTGCGAGTCGGCACTTTGCGAGTAGTGGAACGCGGTCGATGAGCACTGCAGAGCACGGCGATGCTAACCACCGCCACGGCATGCGGCATGCAACAGCAGCACGGAGCAAGTCGATGCGATGCTGAGCGCGGCAGATCCGCTGGCCCACCCTGGAGGCGCGAGGCTGTGAGGTTTCCTGCAGGACTGCTGCCGCTCTTTGCGCTGCCTATTCTCTTCGGCGGCGAGCGAGGGGGGGAGACTTGTGTCCAGATGCACTGCGGCTTCGAGTTTCGGGCTTCCTTCCCCAGAAACCCAAGGCGCACTAGATATGGATAGGACTCTGTCACCTAGGGGCTCGATTTTCTCCACGTCCAGTGCGCCTCGGTCTTGCGGCGCCCCTTCTCAGAAAGTCCAATACGCACTGGATATGGATGTAAGCATTGCCCGCAAAGGGAAAGGCCTTCCTGGAAGGCAGCGGGGCTTCTTAGAAACCCTCCGGACTTCTGAAGCAATTTCTGCGTCTTCGGGGACGGCTTAGAAGACTTCCCAGAAGGCCGGAGGACGTCCGAGCCTTCTGCAAAGGCCCGCCCCCTCTGCCTTCCCCCCATGGACGCGCCGCCTATCTTTCTGTTCTCTTGTCTCTCCGATTATGTCTCCTTTATGCTGGGTAGCAGGGGGTCCCGGAGCCAACAGGAAGCCTCCCAGAGGGGGATCACCCTCAAATTCTTGGCCCCCCCGAACTCCACTTTTAGGTCGGGCACGTCCTCCTGCATGCGGATCTTGGAAGAACAATGACAAACAGCGGAAATAATCAAAATAATCCAAAGAGCACGAACAATCGTCACCAACATATTGTTTGACCATTCTCTTGAATAGTTCTCCTACAGAGGGCAATGCCCGACTTAACTCCAATTGGACGTCATCGCGCGCACGGCCAGGGCGGCCCAGGAGGCCTCGAAGACAGCCCTGGGAGGCTCCGAAGAGGGCTTCGAGAGCCCAAGACAGCCGAAGATGGCGCCATGAAGCCTCCAAGAAGGCCCAGGAGGGTCCAAAGACGCCCCCGAGAAAGCAAAAACATTACGGTAGGAGCTGGACCACAAGAAACCTTCCACAACAAACCAAACCCTGACATCCCAGGACGTCCATTGTTTCTTGGTGTGGGAGCGTCACGTTTTCCATATCAAAGCCATCGAAACCCAAGAAACCCAGGGCATCGTGGAGGCAAGCAGGGTGTTTCTTGGCATGGGTTCCCACTGTCGAGAAACATTGTGGTTTCAATGTTTCACGCGTCCCACGTTGCGCTCCCAAGATGTCCAGATCGTGCCTCCAGAATGCCCCCGGAGCCCCCCGAGTTTGCCCAAGACGGCCCCTAGGTGGCACCAAAAGGCCCCAAGATGCCGCCCAAATCGCCCAGGATGGCCCACGAAGACGCTAAGAGGGTCCCAAGACGTCGTCAAAATGGGCCCCAGAGGCGTCAAGATGGCCCCGAGATTGCCCAAGATGGCCTGAAGATTACCCCAGAGGCCCTAAGATGCCCGCGAGAGGCCCCATGATTCAGCGGCGCGCCCGGGGGGGAAAAGGGGCGGGACTTCTCAGAAGGCTAGGAAGTCCCACGGCCTTCCGAGAAATGTCTTAAGCCTTCCCCGAAGACATCGAAAACTTCTCAGAAGGCCTGAGTGCTTCTGATGAGTCCCGCCGCCTTCTGAGAGGGCCCTCTCCTTCTCACTTCCCCCCCTCGCTCGCAGCCAAATGATGGCCTGCGATGGCCCCCAAATTACCCCAATGCAGCCGCAAGATGGCTCAGCCTCAGGGGCCAGTGGCAGAAGCCGCAGCCATTCAGATATAAGGGCAACAGCAACAGTAGATGGAAGCCACCCGTGCAACGCAGTGCAGTGCAATACTAGACACTTCGCAAATGCAAAGTACTAAATGGATTGGAAATAAATGGGTTGGGCTTCCGCCCGCCCCCTGAAGAGGAGGGAAGAGGGGAAACCTCTAGACTCTTGAAGTAGGAAGGCGCCTGAGGCAGATTGGGCTGTGGAGATCCCAATATACCTACGCTCAGCAAACGGCGTGCAAAACATCACAAAACAAAACGACACGACTGGCAGGAACGCTGCGATGTGATGATGTCTCCCTTTCTGGTCAACTTGCTTGCAATTTGCTTATTACATAAGCATCTCGGATCTGATTAGTCTCTTGTCTTTCGCCTGCCTTGAAGCCTGCCTTTACCGTTCAACTCGGTAGTCCCCGAATTTGGGATGCGCTGGGTTTTCTGCTTGACGCGGTTTTGCACCATGCAAGAAATTCTAGGGTCAGCGCTGGGGGGGATGCGGATACTGGATGCGCAAGGAAAGCTAGAATGGCTCAGGAATGATCCGTCGACCGGGAAGCCCTGAAACGGTGCCGTGGACCGTTCCACGTCTCTCCTTCTCCTCTGTCTGCCTCCTCTTGATCATCCTGCCGCTCCTCCTGTCTCGGGCAAACGGCGGTCGCGACCCGAAGACGCTCGCCAACTGGTGACCCATCGGGGGAACGAGAGTCTATAAGACTTACTCAACCAATGCCATCCGGCTCAACTGTCGGGGAACGATACGCTGCCGCGAGGAATTGCTCAATGAGGAACCTGGGAGTCTCACGAAGACTTGCAAGACCCATACGGATCCCCGCCGGGTACCGATTTGAGGGAGACAAAGCTCTCTCGCTTTGGCCAGCCCTCCGGCGGGCGAGCAAAAAACGTCCACACATGTGGCGCGAAGGTAGCGCGAACTTCAAGTACATCAGACCGCCCCCAAAGCAAAATTGACGGGGGTGATCCGCGGGGCAGCGCGCGATAGACAAAACGTGGATACTTCAACTTTGGGTTCTGGGGGGAGGTATTCAAACCGTTCGTGCTATGCGATTGTGGTTCTTACCATGACAGACTGTCTCCCCGCCATAATTGCGGGCACTTCTGGTCTGGGAGCCGCTCCTGTCCTGGAGCGCGTGCTACACGGCAGAGTGGCTGCCATCCCTCTTGAGCTCGCTCTCGTGAGCACCCGCCTCTGCCAGACTTGCTGCTACGCACCGCGGCAGCCGTAGGCTTGGAGGGAGGGTGTTGTGCATCCTGGTGCCGCCCCTCGTTCACAGAAGGGGCAGCCGCAACTCTGCTCGCGGTACTTGGTGTGGGGTCCTGTTCCTCTCTCGGGGCGTTGTGGAGGCTCCGCGCGCTCGTCCCGCTGCTCCACGGGGTGGGGGTTCGCGGCGCAGCTCTTCTGGTGCCGCTTCTGGTGATGCCCTCTCCGTGTCTGTACTGGAGTACTTCACATTGGTATACAACGGCAGTGAACAAACATCATAATATACATCAGCATCAGCTCAGAGTAAAGATACCATGCCAGTCGTTCGCTCCACTATCATCATAATTCTGTCGCTTCGCACAAATATTTGCACAAAGCCATAAGACCGCTTTCTTCGCAGAGTCTGTCCACACATAGAACATACGAGCTCCTTGCCAACGTCATCAGGTCGAAATGGAAGTAGAACATGACAACGATTCCCTGGCACCTTTGTCCGTTCGTCGTGAACTTCAACGTCAGCACTGCAGTCTGCCAGGCGCCGGCGTGGACCAAACAACTCTAGCCTCAACACCACAAAGGTATCTGGCCCATCCCATCGTCGTACCTTTTCCTCCGCATTTGGTACACGTAAACTGCACATCTCCATCCTTCGAGGGGCCTAGGGTCGGGCCCAGCTCGTGATAGCCCTGAACTCGGGCTTCCGGTTGTGGAGAAGACGCTTCTGCTCTCGTAGCAGTCCTTTGCCCCGTAGGCCACTGAAATCTGCTAGTTCTTGCGCTGTCCATTGTACAGCCGCGCGTGCTGTGGCGATGGCGGTGGCCTTCTGGAGTTTTCTTGGTGATCCCAGCCTCTCGCGCGGCATAAGGGCTAAATCTGAGTCTCGTAAGGTCTGGCTGATATTCTCCGCGAGCTTCGGTACAGTCCTGATCGGCGAAGGTAGTGCACCCCACAGTGGCGTAACCCGAAGCCCCGCATTCTTGTCTGTTGTGGCAAGCGCAACTGAATAGAGTATCCAGCCCGCGCGTGTTCTTTAGGATGTCTCGCCGTCCTGCTCGGCGGCCTGCGACCGCCTTCAACGCGCCGAGTACGGGC